AAGGGGGTCTGAATACTTTCCGTACCCACTGTATATATATATATATATACTTTTTACATTTTGTATAATGTTAAAATGCAAAAAAAGGATTGAGATCATTAATAGTGTGCAAGCAAAATTCTTCAAAGGCAAAGGAAGCCGACTACTGAAAATTTAAGCAAGCCAAAGAGGATTTCGCTAATTGCCACAGAAAGAAGCCACATTTGCAGCCAGCAAGGCTGATTTAAGCCTGGATCCCAGCCTTGATCATGTAGGAGCAGGCCTTAAAGGCATAAACCCGGCCTGTGTTGTGTCAGACGGACAGAAAAAAGAGGGGGTGGGGGCATGCCAAGCATGACACCAAGGGGGCTGGGCTCCCCACAACAACAACAACAACAAAAAAATGTGATGACAGCTTGGCTTGGCAGGAGGTTGAGCAGTCCATGAGCCGCACCTGCCCCCCTGCCATAAAGGAGGAGAACCGTCTTTCTTGGATTCAAAGAGTCAGAATCACTCAGGAGAATGCGAAGACTTTAGAAAATACAGTTTGACTTCAAAGTTCACAAGTAGCTGGCCCTGCCCTGTCCCATCAGCTCTCGAAGCCCAGCGCGGTTCAAGTGCCCACTACAGGCAGACTGCCAGTTTCATAGCCGAATGTGAGCCAGACAGTTGTATTCTGTATTCACAATGAGTTTAGGGTGTGGAGAGACTAAAAATAGCCTATTATTGCCACTAAGACATGATAATGTGGCACAAGTGACAGAGATTCTTTCTGAACTGAGTCTAGGATTAACAAATAAACCTATAAATGTTCAATTGATGCAAGCAAACACAAAAACACAAAAAAATCATAAAGGTGCTGCATTTATAGAATCAGGTGGGGAAAATTGTTTCATTAAAAGCATTAATGCAACCACAATGAGCATTTAAACACATCTGTGCATTCACAGCAGCAGATTCATGTGCTGAAAGAGGGCTAAAAGCAATGAAGGTAAACAGCACAACGTATATAGATCATAAACGACGTCATTAATATGCAAATGAGATTACAATTACATTTTAAGCGTACAAAGTATCTGTCTAATACTGAACTAGTACAGCAGTCAGTTAGCGGACTGGATTGACTCCAGTCCTCTTCTCTCTTTATGTGGCAAAACGCGCGCATATATCTCTCATTTATCTTTAAAATGAAGACTGTCAGTAAAACAAACTATCTTTTATCTACGCCTATAGTATTTAAAGGAGAAAAGTTTGTGTGCGTAAGATACAGGGGGTGTTTTAACAGACAAACTGGATAGTGGGGCTGTAACAAAGCCCTGAATGAAGTTCCCACAATTCCCATTCCCATTCCCATTCACATACACACACATTATTAGCTCGCTAGCAACAGAAAAACAGCCAAACCGCTTCAATTCGCGCCTCGTTTTGGGGCGTAATTTTCATATGCTGCCTCAAACACCTCCGCGTTGACGTCTTACCTCTCCTGGTCCAGGATTCTGTCGTTTTTGTTGTATTTGGGAGCTGTGTTGTGTATGAGGAGGCGTCCTGTTCCGGGGTCACATCCCGACAGTCGGCAGCGCTGGAGTGACTCAAGAGCGTAAACGCGCCGCTGCTGAATCAGTTCCTGCCGGTGCGACTCGCGATTGTCGCCATCAGAGGGCGCTGTGACGCTGCGGAACACTGGTCGTTTATTGAGTGATCGGTGAGCACACAAAGAGAAGGGTTTGATATTATATATTTATTATATATTTAGTATATTATAACAAGAGGAATGAAAAGTCAGAACATTCTGAAAATAAATGTAAAAACACTGATATAATACTTATCTGATCTTTCTTTAAAAAAAATAATAATAAAATAAAATGTGTTTAATACTTTATCATTATATTATATTATGAAATATTTGTAATATATTATTAGAGGAATGAAAAGTCTACATAACAGTCTAAAAAGTACCTAAGCATTAAACTGGCAGATTAGAAGGCCTAACAATAAATGTAAAAAAACGTTTTTGGAGCACTGAATATACACTGGCTGAACCATATACACCACATATTTTCAGTGGTACCACTCATAAATAGTCCAATGTAATAGGTCATACTATTTTTCAGTTTCAGTAGGCTATAGTTACTTAAAAGCACTTTTGTGGCCATCTCATGTACTCTGAAGTACTTTTGATTGCATTCTCCAGCTATTTTTTGACATAATATTATCAATTCAATCTTTTTCTCTCTATGAATACTGTAGCAAAAGAGACATTTAATGGGCTTTTACAGTTTCATCATATATTCCTATGATTGACATAAACCTTACACAGCACATCACCTCCTTAATGGCAATAAAGCATCGCTATTCAATAATTTGTAGTTTGCAGTTGTTTAGACAGTGTGATCATGACAGGTATTATGAACCCATTTCAATTCCAGAGAGTATAGAAGCTGTATTAAAGAGCTTTGTTAATATATAATAAGCTTTTACAATAAGCCATTAAGGTGCCCGAGTGGGATTCCGGTTTCTCAGGATTAAATACTGATTGCCGTATTACAGAAAATCCTTCAACTGAACTAAAACGGAATTCTTTGTTCTTACTGTTATCACCACTATGTTTCTATGCCCTAGTCTCAGAGCATATGTTACTGAGAGTTTCCCAGCAGTCTCATTTACTGTACTCCTCACACTGGGAAAACCTCGTTTATCATTCATTACACAATAAACATTGAAGTACCATGCAGCTTCCACTTCCCCTTTTATCTCCGTTTCATTTTCACTGTGTATATTTCTCCAACACACACAATAATAACACTCAAATGCTGATCAGGCGTATTTAACTTCCTGTCCCACACTAGTCTGAATTCTGGAAATTAAGTAGGGTCAATTTGGGTAAATAGTCCACATTGTGACAGCCACCTTAAAGGAACAGTTCATCCAAAAATGAAAATTTGCTAAAAATGTACCCAACCTCAGGCCATCCGAGATGTATATGCGTTTGTTTCCTCATCAGAACAGATTTGGAGAATTTTAGCATTACATCACTTGCTCACCAGTCGATTCTCTGCAGTGAATGGGTGCCGTCAGAATAAGAGTCCAAACAGCTGATAAAAACATCACAATAATCCACAAGTAATCCACATAACTCCTGTATGTCAATGAATGTCTTGTGATGTAAAAAAAAAGGGAAAAAAAGCTGTTTATACAAAACAAATTCATTAATAAGGCATTTTTAATTTAAACCATCATTTTTGGCCAAAATATGAGTTCGTAATCCATAATAATGCTTCCTCAAGTGAAAAAGTCCATCGCCTGCTGTTCTCTCATATTAAAATCCACTAACATATTTGTTTTGAACTGTTTTGAATTATTTTTTCTTATAAACTGCACATCTCTCTCTTGATTCAGATGAAACTACTTTTTCCACCAGAGAAAGCAATATTATAGAGTTAAAAACTTTGGATTTGTTTCTTACAAACAAACAGCTTTTCACTTCACAAGATGTTAACTGATGTACTTGAGTCATGTGGATTATTGTGTTTTTATCATCTGTTTGGACTCTCATTCTGACGGCACCCATTCACTGCAGAAGATCCATTGATGAGCAAGTGATATAATGCTAAATTTCTCGAAATCTGTTCAGATGAATACACAAACTACATCCACAAAGATGGCCTGGGGGTGAACTATTCTTTTAATGTCAGAAAAAAATGCACCAATTTATTATTTTCCTCCCTCAGATGCCAGCTACATAGACAGCTAAAGGTCTGGCTCCTTTCCCAGCGACTTGTGTAGCTATCAAAATATAAAAAAAACACTTATTTAACAAAAACAAATAAATAACCCACAAATCAATTTCATCATCAATAATTTATGGCAAAAATGAGAATGAATAACACACTTCCAGAACTCATAACACCTCTGAAAACTTCATATCAAAGCAGTCATGTTTAAAAACTGAAACAATACATTAGTAAACCGAGAAATTCAAGATCCTGGCATTTCATACTGTGAAGTGACTAAAGATCATGGTACACGATCAAAAACAAATGCAAGAAACAAAACAAGAAAACATGAGAGGTACTCGGTTAGTAGTCCAATAGATAGTCATCAATACCTACACCAATGCTAAAATCCATTCATTATGTGAAAGTTATTCCTGTCCACTAATATTCCTTACATTATTAAAATTATATGCAGTGGGTGTTAGTAGGACTTTCATGTATAAAGATTAGATGGATTTAGCTTTAAATCTCTTTTAAAAATTCACATTCTAGAGGACATTTAAAGATTCAAAATAAACAACATTTACGCATTTGTTGAGAAAAAGCATCTTCGTGAATCAGGTAGCAGTGGATTCAGTTGGCGAATACTGTGGTGATACATTCTGGAATTAATTAAGGTTTACCGGAAGAGAAAACACAAGCTTAACTGACTCTATATTCAAAATAGGCACACAATTAACAGTGCACTGTTCTACAGAGCAACAATATTCCACTTTTGCCCTGATTTATAGTACAGTAGTACACGGCGTACATCCTTTGCACACATTTCACTGAACAAAAAGCTAACTCTTTGGACACGACTTCAAGATGGCTTGTGTCTTATCCCAAAGGCACAGAGAATACCCCACAAATACAAAATATTTAAGGCTCATTTCTACACTGACATAAAAAATGTCTTCTCATGTACACCACTATACAAAGGCTTTCCTGATGAACAATTTTCCTATTATACAAATCATTCAAATTAAAAAAATACTGTTTTAAGGAATGTAAATATATGTATGATACACTAAAGAATATGTACAACCAAACAAATTCATGTAAACAGAGAAACAAAAATCCTGAAACAAAAATGTAAACCGTATGAAGACACACAAAGTGCTTTCTTCTCCAGAACAAAAGTCACTTATGCTGTACAGTTAGAAATTATAAATACATTAATCTCACTTGCTCGGAGCTTTTCTCTGTGCAGGTACACAAGTGTGACAGAAACAAACCAGAGATGCTAGTTAAATTAGTGGCATGCCAATAGTTTGTTAAATTAGTAGCTTCGATTCCCAGTGCACTGTGTTGCAAATACAACATGTATCTGAAATTATTCTCATTTCAAGCAGTAGGTCTCACTACAACAAATGTATAGAATTATTTACTATTACGTCACAGATGTAAACATTCACTAAACAGCTGTTGATGTATATACTGCCCTGCAAAGGCAAAACGCAGGAACTTTTTTGACCGAATTTCTGGATTTTAAACACAGAATCTAGTCGCATTTGACCTATGATATTGGTCATAACTCAGTTTTAACAAACTGTTTAGTTACTGCATTTTGCCTTTGCAAGGAAGTATGCCATAAATGCCAGACAGCAGTGCAACATATATTGTGTTCAAAGCTGCATTGGTTTAAATCAAAACTCAGCATCAAGAGGGTTTCAGTGGGACTCCTGTTATCGAGTGCCATTTATCTGTTATCTTTGGCAAAAGAGTGCATCATCCAGTTCACCTTGGTCTTCCAGCTCTCTCTTAGAGCTTCATTAAATTTTACTTTAAAGTTCTTCAGTGCTTCCTCCTCAGATTTCCCCAGTGCTAAAGAGTCCTGTGAGAAAGAGGACAATCCATCATGATGGCGGTGGAATGTCACCACTGAACATATTCTGTATCCGCCTAGTTATGACATTCATTATTCCTCTAACAAATGAGACTCTTCAAGGAATAGTCAACCCAAAGATGAAAATTAGCTTAATTTTCTCACCATCAGGCCACCCAAGATGTAGATGAGTTTGTTTCTATATCATGACGAATTTAGATCAATTTAGCATTACATCACTTGCTCACTAATGGATAATCTGCAGTGAATGGGTGCCGTCAGAATGAGAGTCCAAACAGCTGATAAAAACATCACAATAATCCACAAGTAATTCACACCACTCCAGTCCATCAATTAGCATCTCGCAAATCTAAAAACTGCATGTTTGTAAGAAACAAATCCATCATTAAGGGGTTTAACTTTAAACTGTTGCTGCTGGCCAAAATACATGTCCATGATAACACTTCCTCCAGTGAAAAATCCCATCCACTGTTGTCCTCTCACATCAAAATCCACCAATATATTTGTTTAGGACTGTTTTGGACTGTTTACATGGTACTTGTAAATAGTGTTTGATCTATGCATATTTCTCTCCTGATTCAGAAAAGACAATATTATGGATAGAGGACTATTTTAGAGGATTTTAGCCAGAAGTTAAAAACATCTTGATGAATTTGTTTCTTACAAACACACAGCTTTTCAATTCACAAGACATTAAGACTTGTGGGTTACTGTCATGTTTTTATCAGCTGTCTGCACTCTCATTCTGACGGCAGCCATTCACTGCAGAGGATCCATTGGAGAGCAAGTGATGCAATGCTAAATTTCTCAAATCTGTTTAGATGAAGAAAATGTTCAGCAAATATTAATTTTGGGGTGAATCATCCTTTTAAAGGGACAATTCACCTAAAAGAATTGTCATTGTTATCTCTCTCTTTTTTTGTCCATACTATTGTTACTATATCATGCAATATCATTGGACAAAACTCTTCAAATTACCTTTTTTTGTGTTCCAAAAAAAG